ACACACACACACACACACACACACACACACACACACACACACACACGCACACACAGCCCAACAGACATACTGTCATGAGTATGAATAAGACCCTTCAAATATGGTATTTGGAACCTGGCACTGGGAATCAAGGTCTGAGTCGTTATAGTTAAAAAAGTGGGCAGTGAGTAAGGCCGATTTGGGGACCAGGTTTCACCACGTCACTAGGCCTGCATTTTTTCCCTTTGGAGAAATGGTTTGAATAAATTGAATTAGCCCCCATACCTTTTGGACCAAAACTGCCTCTTTTTCCTTCTTTTAATGAAGATGCAAGGAAAATGAGCAATAGTGAATTCCAGAAACCAAGCAGCATCGTACACATGAAACCAGATAGTCATGACCTCGAACCAAAAGCAGAATTGCAACACGAGTTCCACCAAATAAGAGCACAGCAAAAGCTCACAAGTGACAATGTGGAAATAGTCTCATCATCATCAACAATGAACCAATGTCGATTCCCTATCTGGCACTCAGCGCCCAGACTACGAATGGCAGATCCTATCTAGCCTATCTACAATGCCGCTGGTGATGTCAACAGCTCCCCGGAGTACGAGCAGATCTCGGCCAATGCCGTTCGCCTCAAGCACCAGGTATGTCTCATGCATCACTAACAACCTCGATCCCCCACACAGATGCCACGTGCACCCAAGGACCACCATGCGCCCCATCCAGCACCTCGCAGGCCAGCTCGGCTATGGCTGCCTGCATGTATCCTACTCGCCCGTTAGCGCATGGGCACATGCCTGCCAGTAGCGCAGCAGCGCTTGCGTAGCATGTAGCAAGTGCCCGAATGCTGAATGCGGAGGCAGGCACTTTCCTATATAGAAGTGGCCTGCCTGCTGTGTGCTGCCCGGCTGTGCTGGGCCCTTCCCCAGAAGCTTCCGGTAGGCCCCAAGTGGCTGAGCCCTGGTCCAAGGGAATCAGGCACAGGGCCTGGGGTGGTTACCCGTGTCCAACTGCCAGCGGCCTGTGTGCAGTCCATGCCCTGTGTCTAGCCCAGGGCCTGTGTTGCATACCGTAACGGTGCAGACGAGAACAAGAACCGACCTCTCTCACATAGTAAAGGATAGCACAGCGGAAGGCTAAAATACCAATGATCAGACCAATCGATGTCGCAATGCAGACCAAACATACATCATCATCAACCCATGGTGTGAAGGGGCCTGGCGCTCACACAGGAAGAATGCGCCAGTCCCCAACCATACACAGGCGAAGAGGAGGGGGATTAGACGAAGAAGAGGGGGAAGATGGGAATGTCGTCAACACCAAGTCTTCGGTACAGGTCCCAAATAATCCCTCGTCCAATGTCTCAATCCCAATGTGGAGTCTGAATCCAAATGTTGTCAAGTCCCAAAGTCACCAATCTCTCTCTCTCTCTCGTAGTCTGCAGATACTGAGAACTCAGGTGGCGAGAGGGTGAGGGAGAGATGGTGGACTTAGAGGAGGAAGAAGAAGAACTCTCTCTCTCTCCCTCTTGTACCAAGTACTAACCTGTGAAAGAGGCGCCTTGTTGCAGGTACATCGAAGATGAAGCTGGAGCTATGGCGCCACAGGTAAGTCTCCCTGGCCTCCGCCCTTCTCTCTCTCGCCCAACGCTACTCTACCTCCTAGCAGCGCCCAGCGCTGAAGACTACTCTAGTGCTAGCTACTACTACTGCAGCGCTCCTGCAGAGTGCTGCAGCCAACTCCTGAAGACTGCCTCCTGAACACACGTGAAATGCCTGTGAACTGCCTGGGAAGTCCCTCTGCCTACCTGCAGCCTGCAGGGCGGACCAGTACTATATAGTGCTGGCCCGTCCGGGAGGCTGCTCTTGCCAATGATGAAACGTGCCATACCCTGGTGTTGAAGTTCAAACAAAGGTTGTCTTGAAACAGGCCCAAAAATGGCCTGCACTAAACCCTGGTCTGGCGCCTAAGTTTCAGGGTAGGTCGACTTTATGAGGGCCTGAAAATGACCCTCTTTTTCAGGCTTTTAGGCTGAAACGACACAGGGCCTGGAGGGCCCTTATTTTCCGTCTGGTCGGGCCCTGCAGGCCCGTGTGGATGTGCAGTATGCCACAGCCTGCCTCAGATACATTTGGAAAAAAGGTAGGCAGGGCCTGGCCTCACTCAACTAACTGGCAATGCGCAACTGCCCGAATTTCCAGTTGCGTGAAAAGCCCAAAGTAGGCCTCTCATCCCCTGTCAGGCCTGCCTTCACTTAGGGCGGCCGATATTGCTGAAAACAGGGCCCAGTAGAGCTTATCGAGGCCTTGAGCCTCGCATTCCCTCCTCCATACTTCGACAGTCCCCTGAGAAGTTCAATCACTCAATCTGGTGCTTTCCTTTCTGCAGTGACTTCTCATACTGAGCGACAACCTGTGGAGCGGTCTGCATCAGTTCCTCCCGGGTAAACCATCTGTCCTCTTTCGAATCAGTGTGATGTCTGAACCGAACACAATATTGCAGCTTCGGCTTAGGAGGACGTCCCCTGCCTGTTGGTCTTGGAACTGGCATTTCTCTGAGATCCACGATGCCGTCGATGTCGACCTCTCCGTCCATGGTTGGGGGCAGCATTGAACGACGAGAGGGAAACTGATCAGTTTCATCGAATGGTGCGAGCTTGGAGGCGTGAAAAACAGGGTAGGTGCGAAGGTTACCAGGGATCCGAATTACATATGATGGCCCGTCCGGATCATTCCCTACAACATCTAGAACCTCCCATGGCCCGAAGTACTGTGGCATGAGCTTGCGGGAGATCCCATGCTCCTGCCCCACTTCAGAGGCTTTGACCCAGACTTTGTCCCCTACCTGGAATGTAGATGGCGGCGATGCTTGTTCTCAGACTCTATCATTGCCGCATGTGCTCTATGCATCTGTTCTACAGCTTGCTGCATCAGGCGTTCATATTGGTCAGTGAATTCTAAGGTGCCTGGTGCAGCAGTCGGCTGGTTCTCAGGTAGTAGAAAGTCTAGGGGCAGTCTAGGCTTGTAGGTCAGTAGCAGACTGCTAGGGCTTACCCCTGTTGCGCTGTGCACAACGATGTTGTATAGACTGGCGATGAGAGCAGGTTTCTCATCCCAGTCCACCTGGTTAGGCTTGATACAGTGCCTCCACTGGTGTTGTACAGCGTCGTTCAACTGGTCTGCTTGCCCGTTTGCCTCCGGGTGGTTCCTAGAAGTCATCTGCAGTTGTGTCCCTTGTTCTGTAGCTGCGACTTTCCACAACTCACTGGTAAATCGCACATCCCGGTCACTAACTATAGACTTTGGCAGTCCAAAATCCCAAACGCAGTTTTCTTTGAACAGCTTAATCACATACTCGGTCTTGGCTGTTTCGGGCATCGCGACTCACCTAGCATACTTACTAAACCTATCCAAAATGACATAGACGTATCGCATACCGCTCTTGCTGCTGACCAGCGTGTCCATGAAGTCCATAGACAGACTCTCACTGGGCCTTTCTGGTACCGGAAGGGGCTTGAGAAGCCCAAGAGGGGCTTGTGTACGTGGCTTGTCCCTCTGACACACCTGACAAGTCTCCACGTACAGCTTGGAGTCTCTCCTCATTGTGGGCCACCAGAACTGCTGCAGCAAGTTGGCTGCAGTCTTCTTATAACCAAAATGTCCTGTGGCGTCATGACACTCACCTAAAAATAAACTGCGCAAAGACTCCCGGTTAGGTACACACAAACGTTTATTCCCGGCATTTTCGAGGAACAGCAGGCCATTGACCAACACAAACTCGTCAGAAGTCACTTTGTCCTTTGCCTCGAGCCTGCGTATGATCTCAGCCATAAACGGATCCTCGCGATAGGCATCCGCCAAGGATCGAGTAACATCGTCCACAAGCCCAAACTCAGTGATCAGCGCACCAAGGAAGTTCGGCCTACATGACAGCGCATCAGCAACTTTGTTGTACTCTCCTTTGATGTACTGGGGCTCGAAGTCATACTGTTCTATAACTTCAATACAGCGTTTCAGCAGCGCATCGGAGAGCACCGGTTGGGTTCTCATCCACTTCAGGGGCTGGTGATCAGTCCTGACGTAGAAGAACCTCCCAAGGAGATAGTGCCTCCAGTGGGTTAACGATTTGTAGATCGCATAGAGCTCCTTCTCATAGGTGAACTTGGCCAACTTTTGAGAGGGTATCTTTTTGGACAGGTACTCGACTGGCCTCAACTTTAGCCCCTCCTGTTGCGCAAGCACGACACCAATGCCATATTGGTTGGCATCTGTGGTTACTATAAATGGGTTATCAGGATCATGAAGTTTCAAGACCTCATGGTGTGTTAAGGAATGCTTCAAATGTCTAAAAGCAGCCTCACACCTGCCTGTCCACTCCCACTAGGTGTCAAGGCGTGTCAGGTCCGTCAAAGGTGCGGCCACTATCCCATAGTTCTTTACAAAATTACGGTAGTAGCCAGTCATCCCTAAGAAGGACCTCATCTCAGTCATAGACTGAGGACGCGGCCAGTCACGAATGCTGGCCAACTTCGCGTCATCGGACTTCAATCCCTCTACAGAAATCTCATGACCCAAATACAAGATTCGGGTGCGGCCAAACTCACACTTCTCTCGGTTAATCTTGAACTGGTGTTGTTGAAGGAGACTAAAGACTTTGTCCAGTTAGGCTACATGCTCTTCGACAGTCCTACTAAAGATAAGTACGTCATCGAGGTACACGATGACAAACTTGTCCAAGTAGTGTGCTGAAAGTTGCCAGGAGCATTGCAAAGGCCGAAAGGCATCACCGCAAACTCGTACAGACCGTACCTGGTCTGAAAAGGGGTTTTGTGTTGATCCTTGGGCCGGATTGCAATCTTATGGTACCCGGACTTCATATCTATTTTATTGAAGTACCGACACCCTTGCATTCGGTCCAACAAGTCATCGATGCGCAATAGGGGCTCTGCGTTCTTCACAGTGATGGCATTGAGGACCCTATAGTCAATGCACATCCTCAATGCCCCCCCCTTCTTTGGTACAAATAGGACAGGAGATCCGTAAGGGGAGACACTAGGCTGGATCCAACCCTTCTCTACAAGTTCCTTGAGTTGCCGGCAAAGCTCATCAAGCTCCACTGGAAACATCTAATATATCCTACCCTTCAGAATGCTAGACCCTGGGATAATCTCTATCGCGTGGACGACCTCCCTCTCAACAACCCCTTTAGGTTCTTCAAATAGATCAGGGTACTTAGCGACCACTCCCTCTATCTCTGGAGGCATTTTCACCGGCTCGCCCTCTGCAGAGACATATACTAAGTACATACCCTCCTCTGGATTTTGCTTATAATAATTATGAAACGTGGCCGCACACATGCATCCGTAGGACTTGATCAGACTACTAGCTTTGTACTTTCGTAACCTGGCAGTCCCCCCTCCGGGCAAAGTGTGTTTGACCACTTTCCGGTCCCAATCAAACCGGGGTTGTGCAACCGAAAGATAGTACATACCCAACAAGATATACATTGGGAGACCATCGCTGACTAGGAACGAGACTCGATGTCTCAGTTCCCCTCCCGCGTACGGGAAACGACACTCAATATCTTTGAGGTAGTTAGTGACTACCATGCGCTGCTTGTTGGCACAGGTCGACTCCACAGGTCGACTCAGGCGCTGCACTTGCCCCTGTAAGCGCAGCCTCTCAACGCACACGCGGCTGATAAAGTTCCTCGTTGAGCAAGTATCGTAGTAGGCCCCAACCTTGCGGCTGGCGATATCTACCTCGCTGACGAATAACTCACCTTTAGGAGCTTTCGCCATGGCCGTCCAAGAAGATAGCCGGTCCGATCTAGACCACTCCTCCTCTAGCTCCTCTAAGGACTCTAACACATTCGAACAAAGGATCAATTGGTCCGAATGTGTTTGCGGGACGACAACGGAGTCAATAGGTTGGGCCATCTCTCGAGATGGTGAGGGTGTATCCACCACCTCAACCCTAGAAGGAACAACTACAATTCCTACTGGCCCAATGTGTTTCTTGAAGCAATGCCAGAACTGCTGGCTATATTGCTACCCGAGGAAATAGAGGAGACAGGCGCCTGCCCCATTGTAGGCGGGATCTTTTCCATCACCTTCTTGTTCCGACACTTGAATTGGTTATGGCCATATTGGCCACAACGGATACAAGCCGACCGAGAGTAACGGTCTCTCCACACGTCCTCAGTTAGGCCCGCTTTCTCCCATGGAAGAACATTGGGGTTCACTTGACTCCTAGATCGGGAGCCTCCACGACGTCTACCGGTCGGGTTGCCTTTCTGAACGGAGGCAGCGACTGCTCCACCCCCTGAAGCCTCTGTGTTGCTTGCCTCTGACCCTACTCCCTCCTGGAAGTCGTCATGTAGTAGAGTTAAACCATCGTTATCGACGAACATGATGCGCCCTTTCGCCTTCCAATTAAGTACCCCGCCTTAAAAATATAGCTAGGGTCTGTGGTGGGAGAGTAGAGGGCGTGAGTCACTGGTTGGTCTGGTGGGTTCTAACTGGTGATGATGATAGGTGTCTCGATGATAAGTACCCCGCATTAAATGTACAGCTATGTCTGTGGTGGGAGAGTAGAGGGCATGAGTTACTGGTCGGTCAACTTAGGGGGCACAAACACACACACACACGCACACACACACATACACACACACATACACACACACATACACACACACATACACACACACACACACACACACACATACACATACACATGCATACATAAGGGTTGGGTGGAGGTCAAGATCAACTGATAATGATGCTAGGCGTCTCGATGATAAGTACCCCGCCTTAAATATACAGCTAGGGTCTGTGGTGGGAGAGTAGAGGGCGTGAGTCAGTGGTTGGCTTGGTCAGCTCGAACTGGTGATGATGATAGGCGTCTCGATGACAAGTACCCCACATTAAATATACAGCTAGGTTTGTGGTGGGAGAGTAGAGGGCACGAGTTACTAGTTGATCAATTTAGGGGCCAATAGGTGATTGTTTGAGCCTGGCGTCCTAAGTACCTGTACCACGAGGCTCGTTCGACTATGCTTCAACCAGGGCTGGGTCACTAGCCCTGGTGCCTGTCACTACTGTTCGGTCCAAGTTCCCCTCGATACTGGTAGGGTGACGGTCCTGAGTGCTGGTCACACTGAGGTAGGATAGTAGGGATAGGGGATGAGCTAGGAGTATTGACGTGAAAATGGGATGGGTGGTGGCCTCGCCTCCTCAGAGCGACCACGGCTGGCCGCTTCCGACGATTAATGTGTGCCTAGTAACTGGCTTCTACAACACCCTGGAATTAAAAAAAAAAGAAAAAAAAGGAGGTCGTGCCTTCCTCCTCCCGTCCGTAGTCAGTTGGAGCCCATGCTCGATCTTTGCCTCCAGATCTAGGGCCTTCTTGCTAAACGAGGGAAAGTTGTGGACTGTGATCATGGCCTTGACTGCCAACTGATTCCTAAGCTCTATGGGAAGACATCTTAGGTAAGTGGTGAGCAAGACCTGGGGGTCATAGCGCAGCCCAGGAACACAGATCAGATGCTCAACTGCGTCTATGGCATCCCTTACTGACCTGAACTTTATGGAGCTCAGTGTTAGGATCGCATCAGTGGCCTTTTGAGCCTCTTGTGGATCATGCCACCTTTCCTCCACAAGCTTGAGGAAATCATCCAATTTCTGGGTGACAGCCCAAGCTCGAAAGTCATGACCGTATCCCTGTAGTTGTACGTACCCACTTAGCCACCTTGCGGCACTCCCCTCCTGGCAGGAGGCAGCCACAAGCACTTCCTCGTGAGGCAAGGTCAACTTGCACTTCACATAGACTGGCACTGACCTCAACCATGTGTCAAGGTCCTCACCCCTCTTATCTCTTCAGAAGGGTTTAGGCGATGCAATGGCAGTCTTGGGAGCCCACTGTCCTTGTCCCGGTGCCTGCACCGCTCCAGGCTGTGGACCCTGGGTGTAGGCTGCTGCACTAGCTGTTGTTGGGGCTGTGTGCCATGCGGCTGTGCTGGCCGCAAGACGACAGGCTGCCCAGTTACGACAGTCTGCAACGGAGGTTGGGAGAACAGTGTCTGAACAGGAACTTGTACACTAGGACCTGCTGCTAACCCGCCTGTCAAAGGCATACCCAGTAGGGAAGCGGCCTGTACCGAAGTTGGAGAGACTTGCAAATGGGGCTACTCCAGCCATCGGTGGGACAAAAGGAGGAGGCTATACCACGGGCCAGGCAGCGGGCCCTGATGGTGATGGTGTGGCCTGAACTCGCCCGACCAGCACGACCAGACTCCGTTGGATGTCCTGCAAGAGCAGCGTGTGGTGGTCCTGCATCTCCACTACATCTAGCAGGGCTGTCCTCACGATCCTCACATCATCATCCAAATTGGTTAGGTCCATCTCCTCTAACTCTCTAATGTCTGCTTGTCTCCGCTGCATCCTAGACCTTCTTCTGATCATCCTTTCCTTCTTTGCCTGTATCTCGTCTAATGCCTTCTGTAGTTGTGCCTCATGACCACTTGCTCTCTATACGGCGACCTCCTCGGGAGTTAACACAAATTGTTGGCTTGCCATAATGCCAACGGACTGACTCAGGGTCTGTGTGACCGTCGCCCCGACAATTCCTGAACTACTGGCCTGGGAACTTTGTTGCGCAGCGGTTGCCATGGCTGTTGAAGTAGCTGCCTCGCTTGCGAAGGCTCTGCTTGCCTCTACGTCCCTAGCCCTCCGCTGCTGCTGCAGCCTCTCCCTAAGCTGGCGGAACAGAAGCCGGTCACCCTCTGGTCCTAACGCTAAGTGGACCAACGGGTGTCTTGACGAACGCAGGATCCTATCGTCCGGGTCAGGGTTCTCTCTGTCAATCATGAGCTATAGAACTGTGTAGGACAGACTCGGTTGCCTACCGCAGCGTAGTGCTCACACCAAAATCGGTGGCAATGTCAGAGTATACACATTTGGGTCCAACAGGTAAGTCCGGATTCCTACAAACAAAACTATTATATTTGACTTGTCCGCAAACAGAAAGCAAATTAGCAGAAACAGGAAGTTCTACCTATGCCTTCTGTCAGATGTTAATGGTTGTACATCTAACTAATCGAAATAAAAATAGAATTGTATGGATGGCTGTTTGCAGAATGGAATTGTTCCCGAACTCACCTGAAATCTACCCCTCCCTCAATTCTTCTTGATTGTCGCTTGATGTCAGCGTCCCTAAGCAATCCAGATAGTGTGCGTGTCCAAAGGCATGCACATGGCCCACCCCTGTGCCCCGAGTCAATGCTGAGCTGGCCAGCCCTGCACCATATTTACCCTCGCGTGCAGCGAACCTTACACCGACCGATTGGCTGATCAAGAGGCGTTTAAGGACGGCCCCCGAAGTCCTCAGGAATTATTTAACGTCGCAAACAGGACGACGATCACAGCCAATGGAAGGTACCCCGCCGGTATTCTTTTATAGACGTCCGGTGCTCTTCTCCCCTGTAGGGCTGGCCTGCCTCTCATAACCCATCTACAGCGCAGCAGGCAGACAAAGGACAAAGCAGCAAAGCATGCGTGCTTTACTCCCGGTGGGTTGGTGACCGTGACCCAGTGCTTCGTACAGGGCCCTTCAGATAGCTCCGCCCTCTCCTTCCAGATGCTCCACGTGAACAATGTCGACCTTAAAGGTTGAGCGCACTCAACTCCTCACATGAGAGGACTCTCAAGACAGAACACACATCCTTACCATACTTGCGGCGCATCGCGATGCGCTGTACTGCGCACGTGCGCCGCACTGCGCTTCCCGCACGACACGCGCGCACTGCATGCGGCGCACCTCCAAAAATGGGGGTAAAAAAAAAAAAAAAAATTGTGAGGGGCGGTAGTAGACCCGGCCCCCTGCTCACGTAAAATAAGAAATGGGCAGCCAAATTTTTTTTGAAGGCCGCGCGTTGGCCTGAAAGCTTTTAGTAACATGTACTCAGGGTAACACTCTGTGTGTATTGCAATCTGTATGGTAGGGTTCTTCCAGGCCAGATTCAGTCATGATGAGGGTCGTGATCTCTCAAAACGTTCTCTTCTTATTACTTCTGAAGTAGAAAACGACGGAGCTGACAACCGTTTTTCCTTGAATGAATTTTTTTTTTAATAAAAAGAAAAAAATGTAAGGGAAGAAAATCAGAATTTCTTTGCATGAGTGTCGCCCAGCGCGTCCAACCTGTCAGAACCTCAATGGTAAGTGCAGTCTGTATGGTAGGGTTCTTGCAGGCCAGATTCAGTCATGATGAGAGTCGCGATCTCTCAAAACGATCTCTTCTGAAGTAGAAAACGACGGAACTGACAGCTGTTTTCCCAGGAATTTGTTTTTTTAATAAAAAGAAAAAAACGTAAAGGAAGAACATCAGAAATTCTTTGCACGAGTGAAGCCCGGAACCTCAACGGTAATGTTCACCAATGGGCTCGCTGCACAACTCTCGACATGCACAACAAGACACAAATATTGGCGGTGTATCTTTCCATATTCTAGCGCAAGATTCACTCTCGTTTTGCACATTTCCAGATTAGTGCAGCGAGGCCCATATATGGCAATGTATCTTTCCATGTTCAAGCGGAAGATTCAGTCTCATTTKTTCAAAGATTCTCCAAAAAAAAAAAAAAAAGGTTCCAGAGCTACGTTACGTGCTTACCTGATTCATCGGCCCTTCGCTCTCCACCACCCAACGTATGAATGAATCTTCC